ATCAAGTTCTTGGAATTAAAAAGCTGGAAGTTCGTGATCCAAAAGGCTGAAAATTCGTGATTCAGAATTAATTCAAGAATTGATCGTCGAATTTAGGTAAAAATTCGAATTCATTATATTTGATATAATATGCACGTGAACATCTAGAAGATTTTGTTTTTGAATTAAAGAAATTTTTAATTTCTGACTAATTCCGCTACCGCATTCCAACAACTGGTATCAGAGCAATCTAAATCGTTCACGTGCTTTTTTTTTTTACAATCGCGCTACACGGACAGATTGTATCCAGATGAAATCCCGACTGAGGTGGCCAAAAAAATGAAAAAAAGAAAAAGAAAAGGACAAATAAGGGCTGAAAAGTAAAAAGAGAAGGACAAATTATGACAAATTAAAGACTTTTTTTGCAGCCCCTTTTGACCAACTCTCCTGCCCATTTCCCTCATTTCACCCTCCACCGTCCACTCCTTTTGCCCCAGTTACTCTTCATTTATTCTCCGGCCAAACAGTAACCGTCCACTCTTTTTGCCCCAATTAATCTTCTATTATTCTCCGGCCAAACAGTAGGTTTCACCCAAGGAACTCGACTCTTTCCATCAATGGTTTTCGCCTCCACTCCGACTGCTCCTGCATCCATCATTTCGTCGCCAAACGCATGACCATCTCCGGCCGGTAGCAAAGTCAGCACTAGAATTCCGTCTCTCACTGCAATTTCAATTTTTAGGCTTTGTACAGGTAGAAAAACCAACTTTGATGCATAAACGTATGTGTTAAAAAAAATTTGTAGAATCAGTAGTTGAAACACCAAAATTTTCCATTTTCCAATATTCTCCTGTATGTGTGCTAATTCATCTATGTTAGAAGACTTTTCTTGAATTTTGTAGTTTAAGGGGGGAAAGAAATGGCATGTGTCTTCAAATTATGAGTGTTCAATGTTTCTGCTAATTGTTTCATTATGGATTGCTGTGCTTTATGGGGATGGAAATTGGGCGATAACCTCGAAATGAGTATTAAATGAGAGAATTATGAACGTCTAAATTTTTCTAAATTGTGTGAGCTGTTGGAATTTGCAGATTTGCAAAGAATTAGGTGATGGTTGAGACAAGTTTATACAAAAAGTTTGTTATTTATTTATTTATTTTTAAAGGCTTTGTCCAAGTTCATTTAATGTCAAGTTACACTCATCGACAATTTGGTCTCTTCTCACGTCTATATAAATTACAAGTTGGTGTCTCTTGTCACGCATGTTTTTGTCACTATCCATGTATTTGTTTACAATTTTTGTTATCGCTCATTTCGGGTTTAGTTATACTAATTCTATCATTTATTCCCATCTCAGAATGGTTGGAAGAAATTCTGGAATTTGTCATAGTTGTAGATCTAAAAGCCACTTCTTTGCCGAATGCCCAAAGAAACGTCGATGTCCATCATTCAAGCATGGATTCGAGAAGTGCTTCGTCGTCGAAAAGGAGACTGTAAATAAAAGTCGTTTATTTCTTTGCTGCAGTGCCAATTGTGGTTTTTGGGAATGGGTTGTCAAAAAAAAGTCAAGCGATCAATCCTCTAGCGGCACAAATGCCTCAGTTAATGATGCGGCTAATGAAAGAGTAGACGATATATCATGCATGTTCCAATCTCGCATTCGCCTCAGTGATGAAGTGGACCTTCGGATTTCAATGAACGTGACGATATGCAAGGCAGAAGACAGTGCAAAGTCGAATGCACGGGGAAAGGGGTCGACTTGATTAGTAGTTATGAGTCGAATGAATTATTACATGCACTTTTGTATGTGTAGGATTATTATGACTGAATCTACTTAAACTATTCGAATGTCAATGGGTACATTGCAAATTTTGTAGCCTTGCATGTATTCAAAATTTACTTATAAGTTAAACCACTGCTACTTAAAACTAATTATAAGGCTGGACTCTATATGGATATACTTATAATTAGTCAAACTTATAATTGCTCCTTTTCACGTACTTTTTCAAAATTTACTTAAACGTTAAACAATTGCAACTTAAAACTGATTTGTATAACTCTATTTATGAATAATACTTTATTAGTTTTCTGTTGATATACTTTAGAAAATGTAACTGTTGCAAAATGTTTGGCTGTTTAAAAGTACAGTTTTATCCAAAACATATTAATAAATGATACAAATGATACAAAACATATTAATAAATTATTGACAAACGGTTTAATCCTCTTTAAAGCATCAAGCAAGCTTTGAGAAGAAATAGAATAATGGAAATGGGGAAAATCAAGACCTTTTGAATAAAACCTGTACCCTCTATTCTCTCTTTTTTTTTTTTTGCTTGCAATATGGGATGTGATTAAATAATTACAGGTAATGTCACGTTCTGACAAATTGCAAGAACGTAATTCGATTAGGCGAAACCTTCCCTAGAACCCAGAATATCATTGCAAGAATTCTGTTGAATAAAGCAATAAATCAATCAAAAGATTGGCAGATGTCTTATGGACATATTAAATCACTATTACTTGCTTAGCACATGACAAACAAAATCACATACAAGTTCAAGTCTTTCCATCTCACGCACATAATTTACGCAGAAATAATAGTGGTGAATCTGAATAGCAAACACCCCAAAACTTCATATAGTGGCATCCATTGTCAATAACTTATGCAAGTTTCAACCTATCAAAAAAACCTTGGCATCGACCTTCAAAAAAATATTTGGAAGCCCAAACCTTTATCATTATGGCATTGCATGACCCTCACTTGCTTGAGCCACCTTGGTCCGGTAAATGCGAAAAGTAGTATGGCATTGCTTGACCTACAATACATTGACAAAATTGATAGCTACATTCATGAAAGAAATATACATCGAAAGTTGAAATGTCATACTTTGTTCTTACCT